GCAAGCACGCTACTGGGGGCTCCTGGCCTTACTACTAGGAGTAAGGACGCTACTAGGAGCAGGGCATCACTACTAGGAGCAAGGACGCTGGATCCAAGCACGGTTCCACCGGCCTCGGAGATGAATCGATCGCCCATCAGGCCTCACCATCAATCCATCGATTTTGAAGCAATCTTGAAAGGTCGCTCTGTCCTACCTACTAGCGATGGCCTCTCAGGAGGGAAGATTTTGAGGTTTGTATCGGTTTGTATAGACTAATGATGCATCTGTCCCTGCTGGGAAAGCACTCAAGCGGACATAGTCCTGAGAACACCCCGTGCCTCGCAAAAACAATGCTGTTTATAGCTCGGAAACACATTGGAATGAAACAAACAGCTTCCTTTACTCGACCGTCCTGAAACTGTACTTGGATGGGACGCCCACGACGAAACGGCAACTGGCACCCTGAGGCAGCTGCAATGATGCACCGACCAAATAGTACCAATTAATGATGACTTTCATAGCTTCGCAGTCCTGCATCCGCATTGCAAGATATTCTCAGATGGTCTCAAAGATTTGGGGGCACTGCTCAGCAAAGGACAGCTCCTTCACTATCGCCATCTATCGCCCAATCCAGGGTGGACAGCAAACATGAAAAAGGCTCAAAGAGATTCTCGGTTCACCACCATGCCTGATGGTCTTGAGAAGATACTCCCAATCATACATCTGGTGACCAATGATGACCGCTCAATGCCTTAGCATGTGGAATGCCCTACTGAGTGCTAAATGTCAATTAATGTCAAAGGGAAAGCTGGAAGGTCGGAGGCAGTGCCCGGGTGTGGAGAGATAGTTGTGGAGTGGAATTCCTTCGCACTGTAACAAGTGCCACGCTACTAGTAACAAGTGCCTTACTAGTAGTAACAAGTGCCTTACTAGTAGTAACAAGTGCCTTACTAGTAGCAACAAGAAGCTAGTAGAAACAAGTGCCACGCTAGTAGTAACAAGTTCCTTACGAATTTCCCAGAGCGAGCGTCCGAGAACCCGCACCTCTTGCGCTTTGTTTGGAAGGAATGCCGGCCGAAGTCCATGGCCGAAGGGAGAGGCGGCTTGTCAGCTTCGGTTGTGGCCATCGCTAAAGACCTTACTACAAGAGGACGCTACGAACGTAACGAGGGCTTCAAAAGACTTTGTTCTCTCGCCTTTTGCAAGTGAAATCCTCGCTGCTTGGGAAAAGCTGTGCCAGCGATGGCAATACAAGTGGTCATTGTACGCAGGTGCCAAAGTGCATCTCCGTCACCATGATCATTCAACCGGAGGATGGATGAAGATCCAAGGTTTTTGAGGATTCGGATTCTGGTTTTCAAAAGCAACAAATCACCAGTCATCATTTTTCAGAGACAACCTGTTCTGCAAATCCTCACCATTGGTGGCAACCCCCTAAATTTGCAAATCACCATTGGTGGTAACCCCGTAATTTGCCTATGCACAGGCTGTAGGTGATCAGCGACAGTGAGCCAACAACGTTTTCTGGGCCAATGCTGCATCTTCTTCAATGCAGTTTCTCGACTGCCTGCCCCGCTTGCCTTTGGCACTGCAAAGCGGCTTCGCGCAGAGGCGTCAAAATTCGCCTTCAGCGTATTGGGAATCACGTGGGTTTCTGGGTGAGTCCACCGACTGCTCGAACTGCTCGTTCTTGCCCGGCCAAGCTGCACAAATCCTCATTGCAAAGCACTCAAAGACATACATGATCTCCCAGTTTCATCGAGTTGTCCTGTCTTACTGTCAGTTGAGAAAACGTGGAAACTGTACCGATGCAACGTCTACACTTTCAAGTTCCAGACATAACCTAAACACCGCAAGTAAGCGTCAAATCCACGCCATCCACGTTCTCCGGTGACTTCCGGTAACGATAGCGTTGGAAGCGTAGATTCCGCGCCAGGCGCATCACGAACTTCTCAATGCCGTCGTAGCTCCTCCGCCTTGAAGTCTTTGAGCCAAGTGAAAGAGAAAAAAACAGTTGGGCCATTTCGATTAGTGGAAAATACAAATTGCACCTAGCATCAGCTATGTCTCCCCTTGTTTGATAGTGAAGTACCTTCCAGCAAAAGCCCAAGGCTTTCGTACTAATTTTTTGCACGTTCCTCAAGGAGATGATGGCGTGGCCGTTGGGCGCCAAGATCTTCTCGATGACCTCCACCAGCTGTTCCCAGGTCTCCCCATAGGCCGGCTCGCACACGCAGTCTGATGAAATCACCTCAGACGAGGGCCGATGTCACTGTGTGGCACGTTTGGCAAAGCAATTTAAAGATATTTCAATTATTTCATCATGTTTCGCGTTCCATTTGAGCTCGTTTTGGACATCTCTGGGCCCGACAAGGTCTGCCAGCTTGGGGAAGCCCTCGGGTCGGACGATCTGCCCAGGCAACATGATGAACTTCTCCTAAGATCCGCCGAAAAAGCAACGGACAAAGCCGAAAGAGCGTATGAGAGATTCTTAACAGACCGTTGACAAGAGCGACCAAACGCATCGTGTTGCTTTGAGATTGTGCTGACGCAAGGATTATGAATGTAAAAGGCTCAGCAACCTGATCTTTAATATCTTTCCATAAAACCTCCAGATCGATCACATGGAGTGGATCTTTAGACTTTAGACCAGTTCATTCTATTTCTTTTCAGAGCGGGAGGCACATTTTTCGATTTTTCTTTTGCAGTCTTCACATGGATCGTTATTTTTTAAATGGAGAATCCCTTGATAGAAGAAGCTTCTCGGTAGGAGGAGTAGAATCTACAAAGGAATCTATAAAGAATAGCATGTTTCTATGGAAGGCACACAAAATATACCTTTTGAGTTACAGTGTCCAACTGTTGGAAAAAAAGAAACCGCTTCCTAGGAAGGAAGGGAAGGATTTACTTCCAAAGACCAATCCACAAAGTTGTTTCATACCAGGCTGGATTTGTTGTTTCTAGAAACATTGACCAATTACTTCTATGTCATCTTATATCATGACAAGGGCTTAGTGTACTTCGTCATTTTCACATCATATCAAAAACTACAAATCAAGAGTGCTAAAAGAGTGCACTGCCACCCCTCCAACTGAGCTCGTCACTGGCTTCTTCGGCTCGGGCGGTAGAGCTTGCTGCATCTGCAAGGCTTCAGCCGCCGCCTGAAGCGTATTGCCCCTGTTCTGTTTGTTCGCCATTTTGCGACACCCTTGCCGGCCCTTGCCTTTTCAACAGCACAACGTGACCCTCTCGATGTCTCGGCCTCAAGCTCATCCATGCGACCCATGAGTTTCAGCGCTTCTTCCGCATCCCAGCGCAGTGGCGTCACGATCAGCGAGCCGACGCCCATGTCTTGGCCCTGCGCCTCAGGTTCAGACTTTCCGCCGTAAAACGAAAAGAACAAAAGGCCGTAAAACTCGGAAAAAGAGAAAGGAACAAAAGGACGCACTTTGCTACAAAGAACGCTTCAGGATTGCTTGACGAAATTAATTAGAACACGCCGACAAAAGCGCGATGAGAAAACAATTCACAGTGAATCAATGAGACACTGCAAACTCGCCACATCAAGCAATCAAAATATATCAAGATTCAACATGCCATCCATGGTCCGTCGAAGTTGAATTGTTGCGGTGATTAATTACGAGTACTGCGTGTGTTTTCCAAGCCAAACATCCACCACAGTTGAGTGGTCTTTCTTGTCTCGCTATTAGGTTGGAGGCCATCGCTATTAGAATTGGCAAAGAAAGAAATGTCTCAAGGTTTAAAGGACTTTATTGTGCTTTTTTTAAATTGTTCGAATTGGTTGTTTTTTTGCTTCTCACTTTAGAAATGGCCTTCTGCGCCGGTGGCCGGAGCTCGGTCTTCACCAGCAGCGGCTTGATGCCACTGGGACGAACCAGCTGGACCCATCCCTCCTTGGGGCCTTTTCCTGTCATCCGCCGGTAGCGCATGATATTCCTCAGTGCTTCATTTGACATCTAAACACCCTAAAATCCAACTTCTTGCGGTGGGTCGCACACACTGGACCACCAGGGACAATCACAAATGTGCAGCATTCGATGCAATGCAGCATTCTCTGAAGTCTACGAGGTCGTCCTTCAATTCAGCAGTAGTGCGTGTATATGTGGCACAAGTCACGTGAAGACAAGTCACAGGTCTTGCTTGAGCTCCAATTCTTCTACCAAAGCGCCATGAGACAAACGCTCTTTCTCAATCTTGCCGCCGCGCTCCTTTTGCCGCAAGGGAAGACATTCCCTGATTTGGTCACAAACTCCAACTGTGAGCATTTTCTAGTCCAACAAACTGCAGTGTATTATAATGTGTATATATTGTATATAGCAGTGTATATATACATAGATCAATATATTTACCAAAGGATCCTTTCGGTGAAGTGCAAACATGTCGAAGGAATAAGGCGAAAAAGGAATGCCTTCGCTCCTTGGTTACAGGAATACCTTCAGAACCGCCACCAACAACTTTCCAAATCTTCTGCGGCCATCCATTGGCGGCACCGTTCTTCTCCAAGTCCTGAAAGAGCATGTGACATAAATATTAGCACTTGGTGTGTGCGGACAACGTGTAAGGACTTAGTTGCCGGAAGAACGAGGCATTTTAATCTACCAGTAAGTATAAGGGTACGCGTCCAGCCGCCCCTTCGCAAATGCAACGTGCGACTTCGGCGGCTATATCACAGTCACCATGTCACACCACCTCACCGCAGAAAGAAACCGTGAAACATCCGACAGAACGGGCAAAGAACGGAGCCGACCCCATCGCATGCTGGATTAGGAAGGGAGATGCAAGAACGGTGGTGAACATGACTTGAACATGTAGTAAATCAAACCCCTCTGAACACCAATGATTTGCCAACTAGCCAAAAGCGGCGTCCTCTGACACCAAATGCGTCGTAACATGTTTAAACATATGTGTTTTTAATCATTTGACATCGTACTCTCCAAAACAAATCTTCCCACAAAAGAAGCGCCGCATTCTCATTCTCCCATATCGTTTGTTCACGCTCTTGGACAAAAAACATTAAGAGCATGCGCTGAGCATGCGAACATCTTCGGCTGAAGAAACATATGACATCATGTCTCTCAATTCTGATGTTTCTGACGCACTGGTAGTTCTACATCTGTTTCTGTGCCCATGTCATGTGCGAGTGGATCTTAATCAGCGAAGTTTGAAGCTATCACTGACGGTCCATAAGCGGCATAGCGTCGGAACGGAAATCGCACCTTTTCTAGTCGCTTGTTCCTTGAGCCAAAGTACATATGGTACATATATATATGTACATGTTGCACTGTACATGTCGCTGCACTTCCATTCGCACCCCCCATGTGAACGGTAACAATATGTTCCGATCACACACGAAAATTTAGGGATGTAAGTGCTACAAAGAAATTGTATGATTTGCCGCGAGACTCATATGAGGCTCATACTACAGAACATGCTGGACTAAAGCGGACTTTTACATATAAAGTGTGCAACTATGGCTCAGAACCTATGAAATAAAAGTAAATCGAATTGAATAAGTGAGACAGTCATGAGGCCTCGCTCAGTATCCACTCAAAAGAGCTTCGCTTTGATGTAGACCCGAACTGGTGACTTCCACGTAGATGTCACATCGGCAACTGACTTCACACTTCTCAAAGATGTAGGTTTTGGTTTGGATACACTTACAGAACGGCAGGTCGGAGAGACAGTCGGTGATTGTCTTCCTTCCATTATGCTCATGGTATCAAATCAAATTGTCGATTTGCAATGGTACACTTACAGCGTTCCAGGTCAGATAGACATCCGGTGAATGACTTCCTCCCTGGTTTGCATGGTATCCTCCTAGTCGTTCAAAGAAATCACCACTGGTGATAACCTCTCCATCCACGATGATCCCAGTTGCCTTGAGCATCCCACCGATCATCTTCTCCCTTCTTGGACTTTCCCTTGGACTTGCTCTTTCCCTTTCCCTTTTCAGAAGGTTGAGGTACTTCGCGACGTTCTTGCGTTAACGCCGGCCTCCAAGATGTTCCAGATTGGCCTCCTCCTTTGGAATGTCCTCGGGATGATGAAGAAGTTGTACCTTCTGCTGCATGTGCGTTGGCGGCAAGATCTTCCTGCAAAGCTTGCTCGAACGCATCGGTAGCACTGGATGGTGATTTATCACGTGGTCTGGCTTTTGGAGCAGCCTTCACCTTGTTCTCCTCTGCTGATGGGGGCCCGAAACTCTTAGGTGCCGCTGAAGGTTTTGGTTCCTCACTTGGTGCTGACGACGGCTTGGCCTCGATTCTGGGTGTAGATGCTGGCTTAGCTGTTGCCTTGGCCGCCTGCTTCTTCTTGCCCTGAATCTCCTTGGCCCTATCTCCAAAGCCTAGACGATTGGTAAGAGCTTGAACATGCTTGTGTTCTATCACGCTCATCCATCTCTCTGTATGTCCAACGTTGGGATTCCTGGCCATTGACTCTATGACTTCCTGAGCTTGTGGGGGCAACCTGATTTCATGTTGATCAATGATCAAAAGAATAGACTTCTCCCACTTGCTCTTCATTCTCGAGTACATGATGTCCAGAGGATCGATCACCTTGTGGTAGGGTGATGTAATGTCGGTTCTAAAATAAGAATATGTCCGACATCCATAAATCGCATGGATGCACTTCTGTACCAATTCAGTCATTGCACTGGCTTTCTTCGCTTTCAACTCCTCAAGTTGGGCATCGGTCAAGTCGGTGGAGTATTCGAAGTTGCCATATTCCCCTTTGAAGGATTTCGGAGTATGACCGAATGATAGGATCATGAGTGCTACCTTGCAAATGAATTGTTCTCCTCTGAATCGGTGCCAGGCCTCCTCAGTTGTAATATTGTTGTCGTTGGCAAAGTTTAACATCATGTCATCTGTTGGATCCAATGGTCTCCCATCGTCATCGATTTCAGTGGAATCTCCTGTACCAAACTTGCTTATCACATCCAGACGCTTCTTTTTCCAATTTGCTTTGAAGTCGGTAAGGCTGGTGCAATAGTAGCTCTTGTACATCAGGGAGATCATGTTCAGCACACATTTGACCACATACCTATCCATCAAACCCGATGCATTCATGGAGACGTCCTGACAGTAGGCTCTCTCTTGATGCGCATAGATTCGAGGTTCCGGTACTCGACAATATATAGGGAGATCCTCGTTATCTCTTCCTTCTTCGGGATTGAACTCGGTCGCTCCATGCTGTGTGTAGTATCCCGGTTCATCACGATCTGTCGGTCGATTTGCCTCCGGATGTAAGTCGTCGGTGACGTCTTCATCCTCGGGCTCACCATCTTGACGTTTCTTCCCCTCATATTGTTGTGTGCTCCTCTGGATCTCGATGATCACGTTTCGTTCGTCCTCATCTTCGAGATCAGAATCACGACCGTAGTCGATCTCATCCTCATTGAAAGATGGGGTCTCGACATTGTCACTCTTGGGATTCTCTGCATCATCAGACGGTTTGGAAGGATCTTGATTGTCCATGTCCTCGTCGTCATCAGCTGCTTCAGTTTGAGCGATGTCTTCTTCCCAAGCCTTTCTGATCTCGTCCATAGTGGCCTGATCCATCATATCTTGATCATCATGTTCAGGCTTCTTCTCTTCCTTCTTTTCCTCTTCATCGTCGCTCACAAGATCAACGGGTGAATCGGAAATGACAGTGTTGCGAATACCACACGAGAGTAGCCTGCCTTGACAAGATAGGCATACGGACAAAGATGAAGAAGTCAAATGCATACATGATGGACACAAAATATTGCCATCCACGTTGCGATATCCTTCACATGTCCTGGAGATGATTTCGTCCCAAGTTTCCTCACTGATGGAATCCTCGATCAGCTCTCCATTGTCATCGAATCGTACTTCATCGATAAGGGACACGAGCTTCTGGACGTTGTCATCTGTCGCCGAGGCTGACTTTGTGACTTCGTCGGCTCTCCCGAGGATGGTATGCTTCTGAGCAACCCAGAGTCCATGACGTGCCGCTAGAACGACTTGTTCTCGAGGCGACTGCTGTACCTTGCCCACCGCGCTTGGCAGCTCTTTTCCGATCCTCAGTATCCGGATTCGATGTCGGGTAGTGCGACCATGTTTTCGTCGGAGATATTGAACGACCCTCCCCATCCTTGTAGTCTTGCGGATCAAGCTCAGGCGTAGGCGGTTCAGGCTCCTCGACTCCTGGAGTGGTACTCGCAGGGTCGGCTTCGCCATCCTTCATCTCTACATCAGGCTCTTCCGTAGATGCTCTTTTGGGTTCTGGGGCTATGGCCGGTCGTACCATTCTCCTGAACTCTGGTCTGGTAGCATACCTGGACATAACGGCATCGATACAGGCTCGTTCTTCAGCTGTAACATGGAGCCCTGAAGGTTTATTCCTCTTGGTGTTGTCATTGATTGATTTTCGGCTCGCTGCATAGAAGTGAAGAAAAGACATTTCTATACCTCTTCTGCATTCATTGATCTGAGCCCAATCCCCGAACAGCGTGTCTTTGAAGATGCCGGCCAGTTCGAGAACACCAGTCCAAAACTCCATGATATCGCCCGCAAGCTCAGAATTTGTAACAGTCCTATATTCATTCAACGAGAAGACGTCCTGGTACTCCTTATGCGTGAAGAAATATTGGATGTAGTCGTGGTACGCCACATTCCCATAGTCCATATACGCTCGGAAGCCATAGTCTTCACTGTCTGGATCATAGTCTCGGTGGACGAAAAGAGTGGATCCCTTCCCTTGGGTACAGTATTGTTCCACAAGTTCCGACGGGGCTCTGATTCCACCATGATGCGAGATAGCTTTCAACGCTCCTTGAATCCAAGGCGGATTCTTCCTGGATAGCATCATCGCACCCTCGACCATGAATTCACGGAGATTCTGCGCTGGATACAAACGGTTCCATTCAGCATTCTTCTCCCAAAGGACTCTAACTCTCACTGCAGTTTCCCAAATACTTTCTCTTTCTTGTCGAATCGTGGGAGTGCCGCTATTAACACACCAGAAGTTGAAGTTGCAATTCACACAGTGGCTTCTGTTGTCTTTGTATGCGTTCCAATCCTCAGATGCATCACGTTTGTTGCAATCTTCACAAAGATATGGTGCGGCATCTGCAGTGGTTTTGCAACTCTCATCTTTCCGGTTTCCCGTCATCCAATATTCCATCCTGTCCTCCTCAGGCTCCGGATCTTTCAGAACGAATCTGATGTCCCTCCATTCGGTACCTTGACTGAAGCTCCCACCGACAGTATGTTTCGTGCTGGTCTTCTTCGGTTGCCCATCGCTTGCCGACATAGCAACGTTCAAGTACCTGTCGAAGTCGTCCTGAGAAATTGGGACCTGGATCTCGTCCTCTGCCATGTTGTTCAAAGCACTGACATGAACTTTGTTCATTGAACACAATAGGATGACCCTTTCTCTCGTGAGTTGCTTCTCCATCACAGCCCAAATCTTGTTCTTGTCGCCGCCTGTGATATAGCTCGCACTGGGAGCACCTGCAACTGAGTACATAGCTTTCCAGGCGCGTGACGATT